CTTTGAGTCCTGCTGGAGGCTAGCAGGTCCCTCTTGCACTGCAGGAGGGCGGAGGTGGCTACAGCCCAGTTCTGAGTGAAGAAGAATGGAGCTTCCTAGTGCTCTTTGGCCACACCCAAACTCAAGGCCCCAGGGACCGATGTCTCTAGTTCCTCATCTGCCTTCCGGGACAGCATCTTTCAGAGCTCCGCCTGCACCTACCATCACCGCCTGCTAGGGGCCTGCATGCACAGTGCGGTGTGGACAGGTCCCTCAGCCAGGCCCTCTTCATTACAGTTACACGGAAACTCTCTTTCGTTTTCTGTTGGAAAACAAAAGACTTTCCTACAACCACAACTCGGGGCTCTCTGCCCCACGTACCTGGGCAAGCCCCCGAGGTCGATCTCGCTGCAGACGTAGGGGCCTGGACGCAGGATCACCCACAGCCCCAGCTCCGCAGCAAGCAGGATGAAGGCCCTGGGGAGGAGCCCACGTCAGTGCCTCTCATGGGGTGCAGAGCAAGGCCGGTGGGGAGGGAGCCCCCACACACTGCAGGGGTCCGAGCTGCCTGGCCCCTGTCCTCACTTCCTCTCCCACCCAGGGAGACTGGGGTGCAGGGGAGGCCCAGCCCACCCAGAAGAGCAGGGAATCCCTCCACCAGGCTGGAGGCTGGGTGTTCAAAGGCCTCAGTGTTGGGGCTGTCCCTGTAACCTACCGGGTGCCTAAAGAGGGCATCAGACAGAGTCGCAGGGTCCTCACAGCGAGTCTGGCCCCAACGGCTTTGCTAAGCTGGAGGGCAGCCTCGCCCAGCCCAGGTGGCTGGCCCCCACTGTAATATCCACTGAGGATAGGCTCTTGGCCTACTGGGGTGTCATGGAAAGGTGGGGCCCAGGTCACTGGTCCAGCCCTCCTGAGTGGCAGATCAGAGCTGGGAGCTTGTCCCAGACTGAGAACAAGGCCTCAGACCCCCGCCCCTCTCTGGCTCCCCCTGGCTCCTAATCAACCCCCAGGGACCACCTCCTCTGCCTCCACCCCGACCAGGTCACAGAAGCCGCCACGCCACATACTCCAGGTCCAGGTTCCCGGAGAAGTCAAATTTGCCTCTTTCTGGCTCATGGAGGTTCCACGGGACATAGCTGGGGGAACAAGATGGAAGAAAGGCAAGTGTCGTTGGACTTCCTTCTTCCCAATGGCTAGGTCAGCCCTAAACCCAAGCCCAAACCTGAGGTAGGGCTATTTAGGATGGAGATGATGTTCCGATGAAAATTTAAGCTCGGTTACAAGAAAGGGCCTTTCTCTATTGCCCAACTGTGGTCCAAGCTGCCAATTCTTTGATGATTTTTAGATTCCTTGGATTTATGCATAAATTTCACCATCTCATTCTAAATAACAACCATTCAAATATGAAGAAAAGGAAAAACAAACAAACAAACAAAAAGTCTTACGTCTGCCCAATACATTGCAGCTACGAATTAATGAAAAAAAGACTACCCGAGGGGTTTCTATAGATTAATAGATGGTATCCCCTTTAGGCCTGAGCAAGAAGGGCCCCTGTCAAGGTCTCTCCCGCAGAACCAAGAGTCTGCAGGGTTTAAGGGACATGTGTGAAACGTTACTAGGTCCTTTCTTAATAAGCGACTGTCTTCGTTTGTGCTCACTGACTGACAATGGTTTTCATTGTGTCCCTGTCACCATGTTTCCCACAAGCCCTGTGGCTCTTATCACAGCACGCTGTGCTGTGCAGATTCGGGGGAGTGTGTGTGTTACAGCAGAGCAGGACTGACTGTTTCGAGCCCTCTTGTTGTGGAAAGGAAATCTGTTTGCTGCAGGCTTCAAACAGATATGGCAAAGGGTGCAGCCACATGTGGGAGACTGCAACAGAATACTTTTGCTAAGTGCTACTTACAAGGGACTGCAAGGAAACCTGGTGAAAAAAACTGTAAGCGAAACGATGGAAAATGGGGGCCAGCAGGTGACGTGGTGGTTAAGGCACTGAACTCCCACATGGCTGACTATGGTTTGAGTCCCAGATCTGGCAGCTTGCTTTTTCGCTCCCTGTCCCCCTCTGGTGAACACATGTGCCTTATAGCAAGTTAAAGACCAAAATAATAATAAATAAAATTTAAAAATAATAATTATTTTAAAAGGTTTTTGACTTGGGGAATATGCACTCACTGGAGAGAAAGAGACAGAGACAGTGAGAGGGAAAGTGAGAAATCACCCCCTGAGGGGATGGTCATGCCACAGTCCCTTCTCTTTCCTGGGATTTTGGGCACACACACACATGCACCTGGCATGAGTTTCAAGCCACCAGGTCTGGGACTTGAACTATGGCTGACCATATGAGAGTCCATCAAAGTAACCACTATGCCATCTGCTGGCCCCAAAAAGGGATTTTTTAAAAAGTCTCAGTTAATTCAGAAAGAAAGGAAAGGAGAAAAATAGTATATGTGCTAGAGAACCTAAGTTAATAACCATTCAAGGAAGTCTTCAGCTTATTGTCACGAAAGCTAGTAGTCATGGTTTTACAGGTAATTCTAAGAAACATTCAGGGATCAGCAGGTGGCGTGGTGGTTGAGGCGCTGGACACTCCCAATGGCCGACCACAGTCTGACTCCTGGACCTGGTGGCTTGCTTTCTCATTTTCCCTCTCTCTCTCTCTCTCTTCGTGTGTGTGTGCATGTCTCTCTCTGGTCAAATTAAAAATAAATGAATGAATAAATAAAATAATTCTTTTTTAAAAATAAACATTGAGGGTAAAGATAAATCTTGTGCAAAATATTCTTAGTGAATATAAACAGAAGACTTACTTACTTTATGAGCTAATTTTAAGATTAATATCAAAAGCAGATAAGAACATTAACAGAAAGAAAAATCTACATTTATTCTACTTGTAAACATAGATAAATATATTTGAAAGAAAACACTAGCAATGCAGTTTAGGAATCTACATTTGTGTGTATGTGTGTGTGGGCATGTCTCGGTCAAGCAGAGTTTATCCCAGGACTATAAAGTAGTTGAATATCTGAAACATTGTCAGTACAATTCACTTTGAAAGAAGGCTGACCACGGTTCAAGTCTTGGTCCTGCCAGCCTGAAATCACGCCAGGTGCATGTGCATGCATGCCCAGAATTTTGACAGGAGAATGAAGAAAAAGAGATTGCAGCATGGCATCCCCTCTGGGGGGTGATTTCTCACTTTCTCTCTCTCTGTCTTTCTCTCTCTGCAGTGAGCACATGTGCCTTCTGGCAAAAACCTAAAAAAGGAAGGGGGGGGGCAGATGATTCTAGCCCCTGAGCTGATGCAGTAGCACCTCTGAGTAAGACTCAGCAGATGGGTCTGTGTTTGCAAATTAGTTGGGCTGTCATCCATTTACTGCTTCTCAGCCTCATTTCAGCCTTTCCTGCAGCTCTGCAAACCTGGACGCCTCTAGGCTTTTTCCCCTTTAAGGGGACCGTGTCAAGTGTTGCCACAAGAGGGCAATGGAGGACACCCAGGAGGAAGGGGCATCTTCGATTCTTTTTTATTTTTTTAATTTATTATTATTTTTGGAGAGGTTTATGCTATAGGGTGTGTGCACTCGCCAGACAGATAGACACAGAGAGACAGAAAGCGAAAAATCACTCCCCAGGGGGGATGGCCATGTCGCAATCCCTTCTCCTCCATTCTCCTCTTGGGATCTTGGGCACGCACGCACACGCACCCGGTGTGAGTTTAAGCCACTGGGTCTGGGACTCGAACTGCCGTCGACTACATGGGAATCCAGTGACATAGCCATTATGCTAACTGCTGGTCCCAGGCATCTGCGATTCTGTAGCAAGGATTTTGCATTTCTGCCCTAGGGCAGGGTGACTGGCCAGTTGTGTAGACGCGGGAGGCCAGCCAGAGAATTTTCTCTTTAAAAAAAAATGCGATTCAGTATAAGCACAACTCAGAAAAACCAACGTGGAATTGACCCAGAAAGGAAACGCAGAGTGAAATATCTCAGCGTTAGCACGACGAGTGCCCGGCAGGAGAACGTCCGTGCTGTGCCCTCTGCCTGTCGCTGTACTCCCCGATCTGGCTCCTCCCATGTTCTAAGTCTGAGCTTCTCAGGACCACCTTTATTTTTTTCTGTGGTTAACTAATAAAAGCCCCAGGGCTTGGCCGTGAAAACAACAGATCTTTCTAATTCTGGTGACAAAAATATCAGCAAGAAACAGGAAAACATCCTTGGCATCGTAAAATGCCCTCCAGAGGACACTGAGACTTCCGAACAGGACCGTGCAACCTCACCATCTGAGCGCACGGCACTCAGCAGCTGGCCTGGGGGTCGCCTGGGCGCAGAGCCAGGTCACCACTGGAGAAGGTGCAGAGCAGGACACCGCCCCTAGCATGGGATGCGCTGGCAGGTCAGGGTAGCCGAGGCTGGGGAATCGCCCACTCCTTCCTTCCCCATTAGCCCCTACCCAGGCTTTGGTCACAGGGCAATCTAAGCAGGGGGCTTAAGTGACAGCTGGATGCTGGCCCGAGCATAAAATGCACAAAAGGCTGGGAATGGCCATTCAGAAGGAGCCCCCTTGGCTGGGCTCCCCAGGCCTGAGGCTGAGGCTCTGGGCCAGGCTCCAGAGCCTGGGAGCCCTGCAGGGGAACAGGGTCATAGAGGGCGAGAGCCAGCACTCACGTGGTGAGGGTGTTGAAGCCACAGGCCTTCATCTTCAGCAAGCGGTCCCTCCAATACTCCCTGGGCACCCGGAAGTAGTGGATGGAGCCCCCGAAGATCAGGAACTTATGGCCATTCAGTGTGAAGTATGGTCTGCCATTGGTTGGGCTTTCAGTTTGAAGCCCCTGAGATCGGTTCCTTAGGTTGTCAGGAGTCAGATGAGACCAATGAATCCTGAGGAGGGAAGGAAGAAAGAAGAAGGAAGGAAGGAAGGAAGGAAGGAAGGAAGGAAGGAAGGAAGGAAGGAAGGGAAAGAAAGAAAAAGAAATGCATTGGAAAGTTTGGAAAATATAAGCATGTAAAGAAAATATCAAGGTTCTTGTCGGCAGGACAAGCTCTGTGCATGCCTGCAAAGTTATTTTTTCAAAAAACGAAAGAAAGCACCCCTTTCCTCCCACCCCTGCTGCCCTCTCCCCGCCCCCTGGCTCCTTCCCAGGCACACCTGGACTGGGGCATAGACAGACTTCCAGAAATCAACTTCTCTTTTTGCTTAAACCGAGGAGCAAAACCTGGTAAGATAAATGGCAGGAAAAAGATGCCCACGATGCTCTTCCAGGAGAGGCAGGAGCTGAAAGGAGAGGGGCAAAAATGACCAGGGGCAGGCATTCACAGTCCCCAAGGACAGGGAGCAGTTCTAGAAGCAGCTCAGAGGCAAGGTGGGGAAGAGGCCACGTGGCGGGCAGGTCCTCTAGGTCAGCCCGGGACAGGGCGAGCTGTGGCCCTGCCAGGCTCCACTGCCCCTCCAGGGCTGTGCAAGTGTCCTGCCAGTCAGCTCCCTAGGCTGGGGACAGACCTTCAGTCCTAGAAGCCTTCAGAAAGGAACAGGACAGGGCTAGGCCTGGAGGAGGGTTGGGAAAGTTAGAGGAGGGGAAGGAGTTTACAGGCCCGGCTACATCTGGAGGCCCCTGTCTGCACCCCCATATCCCTGATCTCCTAGTCTGGTTCACTTCTCAGACACTCAGCGGGGCTGGGAAGGGTCTGCAGAAAAAGAGCTGAAGGCTTAGGGGATTGAATGGGAAGTTGATGAGGAGGGTCTCCAGGACTGGAGGGCCCAGGAGAATGTCCTGGGCCACGGAGCTTGGCCAGCACCAAGAGCAGTCAAGAGCTGTCCGTGACTGGCCACAGATCGTGGAGGAAGGTCTACGAGGTTCCCAGGTGAGTGCTCTCCAGGTGGAGGAGAGTTTGGGAGAGGGCAAGAGGAAGGCCAGCAACCCAGTCACCTGAGCAAGCCCACGGAGCCCATGGCAGCCAGGCTGAAGAGCTCTGTGCCGTCGATGCGCTGGGTCCGGGCGCCTATCCGCGGGTCTGCAGCAGCTCTGCTCTGCGCGGGGACCAGGGACGGAATCCGTGCCCAGGCGCGGACGCGGTCCCGGGAGCCTGCCGGCAGCAAAGAGGTCGTCTGGGTCCGCCGGGCTCCTGACCTCCAGGACAGCGCAGCTCGCAGCCACCGCGGCTGTCCCACGGCGCGTCTTGGCGTAGATGCTTCAGCCCTGGTGACAAAGTGGAAGGACCCTTGCGTGATCACCTGACCTTGGGTTTCCTAGACTGCGCGCCAGCAGTGGGGCACTGAAAGGCCGAGCTGAGTGGGAGGGAAGGAGGAGGGGACTTAGCTGCCGGTTCCCTCTGGCTCCGCGCCTTCATGGAGTGCCCCTGAGTTGCACTGGACGCTGGGGAGACTAAGGAGTTGTCCGCACAGCTGAGTAGTTTGAATACGGTGGGCAAAGGCTGAAACGGCCCAGGGGACTGGCGAGTCGCAGGGTAAAGTGGGATTCTCTGGAAGGCTGGCGACCCTCACAGAACGTTCCCAGTTCTCAGAGAAGAGAGCTCCCTAGGCGCGCGGGAGCCTGGTTTCTGAGATGGAGCGGGCAGGCAGAGCACTGGCTGAGGCGGGGTGGATCAGGATCAGAACTCTGGGAGTGCCTTCTCTGTCTCTGTCTCTCTTGTTCGTGGAGGAAACAAACATTTATCAGTCAGTCACGTGGCAGGCACTGTTCAAAGTGGTTAACATTTATGTCCAGTTACTGCCCGCAGCCCCACGAAGCAGATACTACCATTGTCACTCAGCGTCCGCAAGGAAACAGCATAGTGGGCTTCACTGACTTCGCGCTTACGCGGTGGGCTGGGGGCCGCTAGGATTTGAACACCCGCCTGCCGGGGAAAGGTGCGGCCTCAGTGTGCCACGGTCCCTGAGGGCCCGTGATTCAGTTCAGCTGGAGCTGGCTCAGCAGGCACTGTGGATGGGTAGTCACACGCAAAGCACAGCGTCGGTCACACCAAGTGAAAGAGCCCAGCGCTTTGGGTAAACATGCACTCCTTTAAGAAGGGTCTAACCACGTGACTAGCATACAAGAAAAATGCCTCTGAACCAGCAGGTCTATGAAATAAATTATGGTGGGACAGAAAGCTGTATTTGAATATTAGGGGACCAGCAGTCGGTGTAATGGCTATGTCGCTGGACTCCCATGTAGTTGACCACAGTTTGAGTACAGGACCCGGTGGCTTAAACTCATGCCGGGAGCCTGTGCCTGTGTGCCCAAGATCCCGAGAGGACAATGGAGAAGGGATTGTGGCGTGGCCATCCCCCTTGGGGGGTGATTTCTTACTTTCTGTCTCTCTGTCTCTTTCTGTCTGTCTGGTGAGCACACACACCCTATAGCAAAAACCTCTCAAAAAAAAAAATAGGAAAAGAAAAAAAGAATATTAGAAATCTTGGGGCCAGCAGATTGCATGGTGAACTCCCACATGATTGACCATAGTTTGAGACCCAGAACTGGCAGCTTGAAAATCATGCCATGCACTGTGTGGCCCGAAATCCTGAGAGGAGAATGGAGGAGAAGGGATTGTAGCATGGCCATTTGGGTTGGGGGAGGGGTGTGATCTCTCACTTTCTTCCTCTCTGTCTCTCTCCAGTAAGCACATAAGCCCTATCGCAAAACAAAAACAAAAACAAAACCTGAAAATAAAAAAAAAAAAAGAATATTAGAAGTCTTGAAATTCCGGGACCAGCAGACAGCATGATGGTTACGTTTCTGGTCTCCCACATGGCTTACCGGGGTTTGAGTCCTGGACCCGGTGGCTTCAGACTCACACTGGGCACAAGGTCCCGGAGAGGATAATGGAGAATGGGGTTGCAGCATGACCATCCTCCCTGGGGAGTGATGTCTGGCTCTCTGTATCTCTGTCTCTCTCCATTCCTCTGGTGAGCACATGCACCCTATACCAAAAATCTCTCTCCTAAAAAAAGTCTTGAAATTCCCAAATGGCAGAGTTTGGGACTTCCTTTTATAGTGAAAGGGATCCATGGGAGGAAATGAAAAGAGAAGAGTTACAAAATTGTTTCTCAGGGATTTACATGATTCATATCAGAATTTGAGTACAAAGTTAACAATCCGACACAAAGTTATATTGTCTAGGAGCTGCTTCGAGGCTAAGTTTCCATGACTACAACATTTCATACCACAACCCAGAATACTCGGTGGACACGCATGGCTAGACCCGCGTCCACGTTTCCTAGAAGGCCTGGTGAGATGAAGACGCTAAACTTACTTCTCTCACCGTCAAATCCCACTGCGAGCTGTGAGCTCGGCTTCAACTACGCTTCGCGCACAAGACTGAACCAAAGCATTTGGGGCCTACCCTACTCGCTTCCCACAAACCCGTGCTCTCCGAGGTTGGAGACTGTGACTGTCACTCACTTTTGGGTTTTAGCACCGAAAGGCTGCCTGACACAGAGCTACCCTGGTGAACGCTGACACTGAAAACGGAGTAGGCAGCTGCAGGAAGAAGACTGGGCCCAGCCGACGCAAGGGCTACTGGGAGCGGACAACAGAGCTCGGAAGGAGTCTAACCACGTGGCTAGCAAAAAGGAAGGTAAAGTGCTTCTAAGCCAGCAGGTCTGTGAAACAGTACGGTGATGTGGAAAACGCTATCGGAATGCAGTCCGGTACTCTTGGGGTCTTGGAGGAGTCTCAGTGGCAGACAGCAGAGTGGCCACCACGTCCATCCCACGAGATAAAAAGACAGCAAGGCTCTTTGTCTAGTCGGCAAGTTATGCCGGCTACCCTTAGGCTAAGAAAGGAAGCGCGTGATTTAATAGGAATATTATTAGAATAGAGTCAGCAAAGGAATTCTAAGTTCTGACACGGCTTCCCACACGGATGCTTTGGTCTTGAGAATAATGTGCACTCAGATTTTACGACGGAGGTGGATGAAAAGATCTCTGACGAGAACTGTGAGGTCACATACGTCTGAACTCATTCTGGGATGAAATAATTTATGGTGGGACAGAAAGCTGTATTTGAATATTAGGGGACCAGCAGTCGGTGTAATGGCTATGTCGCTGGACTCCCATGTAGTTGACCACAGTTTGAGTACAGGACCCGGTGGCTTAAACTCATGCCGGGAGCCTGTGCCTGTGTGCCCAAGATCCCGAGAGGACAATGGAGAAGGGATTGTGGCGTGGCCATCCCCCTTGGGGGGTGATTTCTTACTTTCTGTCTCTCTGTCTCTTTCTGTCTGTCTGGTGAGCACACACACCCTATAGCAAAAACCTCTCAAAAAGAAAAAAATAGGAAAAGAAAAAAAGAATATTAGAAATCTTGGGGCCAGCAGATTGCATGGTGAACTCCCACATGATTGACCATGGTTTGAGACCCAGAACTGGCAGCTTGAAAATCATGCCATGCACTGTGTGGCCCGAAATCCTGAGAGGAGAATGGAGGAGAAGGGATTGTAGCATGGCCATTTGGGTTGGGGGAGGGGTGTGATCTCTCACTTTCTTCCTCTCTGTCTCTCTCCAGTAAGCACATAAGCCCTATCGCAAAACAAAAACAAAAACAAAACCTGAAAATAAAAAAAAAAAAAGAATATTAGAAGTCTTGAAATTCCGGGACCAGCAGACAGCATGATGGTTACGTTTCTGGTCTCCCACATGGCTTACCGGGGTTTGAGTCCTGGACCCGGTGGCTTCAGACTCACACTGGGCACAAGGTCCCGGAGAGGATAATGGAGAATGGGGTTGCAGCATGACCATCCTCCCTGGGGAGTGATGTCTGGCTCTCTGTATCTCTGTCTCTCTCCATTCCTCTGGTGAGCACATGCACCCTATACCAAAAATCTCTCTCCTAAAAAAAGTCTTGAAATTCCCAAATGGCAGAGTTTGGGACTTCCTTTTATAGTGAAAGGGATCCATGGGAGGAAATGAAAAGAGAAGAGTTACAAAATTGTTTCTCAGGGATTTACATGATTCATATCAGAATTTGAGTACAAAGTTAACAATCCGACACAAAGTTATATTGTCTAGGAGCTGCTTCGAGGCTAAGTTTCCATGACTACAACATTTCATACCACAACCCAGAATACTCGGTGGACACGCATGGCTAGACCCGCGTCCACGTTTCCTAGAAGGCCTGGTGAGATGAAGACGCTAAACTTACTTCTCTCACCGTCAAATCCCACTGCGAGCTGTGAGCTCGGCTTCAACTACGCTTCGCGCACAAGACTGAACCAAAGCATTTGGGGCCTACCCTACTCGCTTCCCACAAACCCGTGCTCTCTGAGGTTGGAGACTGTGACTGTCACTCACTTTTGGGTTTTAGCACCGAAAGGCTGCCTGACACAGAGCTACCCTGGTGAACGCTGACACTGAAAACGGAGTAGGCAGCTGCAGGAAGAAGACTGGGCCCAGCCGACGCAAGGGCTACTGGGAGCGGACAACAGAGCTCGGAAGGAGTCTAACCACGTGGCTAGCAAAAAGGAAGGTAAAGTGCTTCTAAGCCAGCAGATCTGTGAAACAGTACGGTGACGTGGAAAACGCTATCGGAATGCAGTCCGGTACTCTTGGGGTCTTGGAGGAGTCTCAGTGGCAGACAGCAGAGTGGCCACCACGTCCATCCCACGAGATAAAAAGACAGCAAGGCTCTTTGTCTAGTCGGCAAGTTATGCCGGCTACCCTTAGGCTAAGAAAGGAAGTGCATGATTTAATAGGAATATTATTAGAATAGAGTCAGCAAAGGAATTCTAAGTTCTGACACGGCTTCCCACACGGATGCTTTGGTCTTGAGAATAATGTGCACTCAGATTTTACGACGGAGGTGGATGAAAAGCTCTCTGACAGAGAACTGTGAGGTCACATACGTCTGAACTCATTCTGGGGCCTGAGGTCAGTGCATTCGGAAATCAAATCGAACTCAGTGATAGCCCGGAGACCCCTGAGGGGGCTCCCCCACAGGAGGCTGAAGACGGTTCTGTAACAGAGGCAGTCGTTGGAGACCCAGGGGAGTTCCCGGCCAGAGTGAGGGTGGGTTCCAGGCCATCCGCTGTCACTGTGTAGAAGGGTGCGTGTCTGTAAGGCTGCTTCCTAAATGAGCTTCCCAGCACGATGGAGAAGGAGACGCAGGCGCGTAAGGATGTGTCTTTTGGCTCTTCTAAAGAAAGGCTCTAAAAGTCGCTCTAAACTGAGCTGTCCCTGGTCACCAGTGCTTAGTCTCTTCCATGCGAGGCCTCATCAAAGGAACCCTTTTGGTATTCAAATAAGAGAC